ACATTGGTTCTGGAAAGATAAACAAAATTAACAAGGGGGAAAAGAGACACTGTCTTTCCACTGTCCTCCCTTGTTTGTCGATTTGCTCGAGAGGGCCCAGTAACATCTCCATTTTGAGACTTGTTCGTACTGTGTTTGGCATATTGAATACATCACAGGGAGCTTGCCAGGCTTTGCTGTGCAGGCAAGATACTCTCAGGAGGTTGCTGGGCTCTCTGAGAGGGGTGGAGGAATCAAACCCAAATCAGCCGGGCTGGCTGCACGCAAGCCAAACACCCTACCATTGTGCTATCGTTCCATGGGGAAAAGAGAAATGACCTTAAATGACAAACTTTTTTCCCCCTTCTTTTTCATGTAGGAGTACTACTATTTACCCAGCCACTGATCAGCTGACTGAATTGGGCATGAACTCCACCTTACTTTTTCTTTTTTTTATTATTTACAATGTTATCCATTGAATCACTGTGAGAGCAGTCACAAAGCTTTTGGGTTTAAGTCTCGGTCACACGATGAAACACCCGTACCCTCACCAGTGCCCATTCTCCACCACCAAAAACCCCAGAATAACCCCATACCACACCCTCCCCTTACCTGTGGGGCAGATGATTTCCACATTCCTCTCTCTCTCTACTTTGATCACATTCAACATTTTGACACCAGACACACCATTATTATTTGGGATTTTACCCCAACACTTAGATCTGCTGAAATGACAAACTTTAAATGAAAAGAGGAGACATTTAAATCAGTAACAGAAATGCAAAGGAAAATCAGGCTACTGAGAACAACTCTACACCAACAGATATTGAAAAATAGATTATGGGTGAAAAAAGGATTTTGAAAGATCTATTACTTCTAAGTTTAATGAGTCAGTCATGAAAAATCTCCCAGCAAAGTAAAGCCCAATAAAGGGTAGTTTCGATGATGATTTTACCAAATATTTGGTGAGACATGAAACTTTACTCCTGCTGCTCAAACGCCCAGCTCTCAGTTCCACCAGTTTCTACCAAAAAAATCATCTTGGAGTGAAGATCTCAAAATTAGTCCAGCATCTACAAAATACATTGAAGAAAACATACAGAACTATTTTGGATAGGGACTTCAGAAGTGTTATTAGTGATTCCACTGGACAAAGAAATCAAGAGCAGAAATAAACAAATGGGACCACACCAAACTAAAAAGCTTTTGTATGGCAAAAAAAAAAAGAAAAAAAGGCTAAAATTAAAAGGTATCTTATTGAGAGGGAAAAACACATTTGCAACCTATACTTTTGATAAAGAAATTGATATCCAAAATATATAAGTCTAAAAAACCAATAACTCCATAAAAATAAAGATTGGTCTATAGTTACTGATGGCAACATGTATGTCCTTAGGGGTGAGGCTACATGGAACACAGGATGAAAACCATATCGCATGAATACTGTATTTACATGGAAACTACATGGAACTACATGGAACTACATGGAACACGGGATGAAAACCATATCGCATGAATACTACGCCTGTACTTCATTTGCAAACACACCCACACTGAACTTTACTTCCCCCAGTACACAGGCACCGTAAATTCCTAAAGAGGCTCAGAAGGAAAATGAAGGATGCTGACCCTTCACCCTCACCCTTTTCTGTGTCCTGAAGGGGAAGCAGTAAAAGCTTCCGTGCCTGGCTACTCCCAGGAGAGGATCAAACTGCAGTCTTCTCTGTGCCCATACAGCATCTTCCTCCTCGCTGAGGTTTTGCAAGACTCTTTCCAATTGCTCTTTGCTCGCCCTTTTGATAGCAGACATATCCTCCCCTGACAAAGTCCTGGTGGGGTAAAGGAACCAGAAGTAGCATTGTCCCAGTACCCGAACCGCCCAACACTATGGGTTCTTCTTGTTTGATGGGTTCAATATGCTCACCTCTAATCCAGTAGATTCCTTCCCCAAAAAAACAACACAAAATCCATGTCTCTACCCACTAGCCTTTCTAGTGTTTTCTTTGAAACTAAGGTGCTTGAACTGTCAGAGGTCTGGGATTGCAGCATCTCACTCATGTGCTTGTGTGAAGCAAGGACTGAAGCACCATTGCTCTCTGAAAAGCAAGTATCTGTGTCAAACAGTATCCTGGAAAAAGAGCAAACACTTTACAAACTAAAAAAATACACCAAAAGTGTAGTTCCATTGTCAATTTAATTTGCTCAACTGACTCTGACCTTTTTGGATCACACCCAGTGATGCTCAGGGGTTACTCCTGGCTCTGCATTCAGGAATCACTCCTGGCAGTGCTTGAGGGACCGTGTGGGATGCCAGGGATTGAACCTGAGACAGCAGCACTCGAGGCAACACCCTACCTGCTGTTCAATCACTCCGGTCCCCAGACCAAATATTTTTATGTTTGCTTAACTCTTACACCTCCTGCCAACTTAGGTACCAACTGCACCATAATTGGGCATTCAGGTAATGAAGATTTCATTACTCTTAGTCAACAAAACTGTTTCATTTACTGAAAAGTGCTGAAACACAGATCTTGGTTTCTAATTCTTTTAGGAAAAGAAAAGTGAAGCTCTGAGGAGATGTGTTAGCACTAGTACATTTTCCCCATGTACTGCTGTGACCTGAGACACTTCTTGCTCTAGGAATAAGGATTTCAAATTAGGAACAACTTTCGGCTGGCTTTTGCATCACTCCAAACTGGCTCACAAGGCAGCAGAGGTTTGTTTTGTTTTGGTTTTCAGGCACACTAGCTATGCTCAGTAATTGCTTCGCACTCAGGAATTACTCTGGCGGTACTCAGGGTACCATCAGGAATGACTATGATGGAACCCAGGTTGGCCACGTGCAAGGCAATCACCCTACCCCGCTGCACTATCGCTCTGGCCCCAAGCAGCAGTTAGATTTGTCCCAAGACGCCTTTACCTCCCTGGCGGTCAGCATCCGGATCCAGAAACGACCTGGCGCAGGTGTGCGGCAGTGCCCACAGCCTGGGGGAGACGCGCCACCGCAGAGAGCTGGACAGGGCCACACACCACTCTGTTGAGCCCGACACAGGCATGGGTGCGAATATCCCAAAGGTGTAATGATTCCCTTTTGGGGCATCATTACACCCATAGCCTGTAGGACGTTGGCGGCTGCAGACCCCGCGAGAGATGCAGGTGCGCGTGCGTGTCCGTTACCTCTAACTGCTTAGAACTGACCCAGGACAGCCCCGACGCGCGCGCACCTACTGGCCACGGTGGGTGGTAACGTCCGCCAGTCACGCGCAAGCGTCTCCATAATTATTGGTGGCTTTTCAGGACACAGCAAGGAAGCAAACATAAAGCCTTGATTGATGCCCGAGGACAAAGTTCAATCTCAAAATCCATCTCATGAGGAATCCTTGGCTGAAAATCAAGTCTAGGTTCTTCGTGACCGAAGTGGAAGTCCCAAGAAATGTCTGGACTTTCCTGTGTTTCCTGTGTCCAACATCGTTTGGGGAAGGATGTTCCTGATGTTGATAGAATTCTTATGACTTGGATATCCCTACTGAACCAATGTAGAGTGCACAGAGCAGCTGCTGGGAACCGTCCAGAGATCGGTGTCTGCAAAGGCAGCCTCGGTGCTGCAGAGAATGGAATGATCTGACGGCTATGGACGTAGCAGGACATTCCCTCCATAGCGACCAAACAGTGCAATGAATGTTGGATTTAAATGCATAATCCCAAAACCTTTCAGACTGAGAGTTTGGGAAGATCTTATAAATTGTTCCAAAATTAGACTGAAAACTCTCTTTCTTATAAACACTGGAGAAAAGAGTGTAGAGGAAATCTGAACTCAGGGTTTCCCAACCATGGAAAAAATTATGTAGAAGGTAACTTTGTTGAGGATCTGAATATTGAAGTCAGTTGCACATCCATTCTTCTCCACTTCCTAATTCAGACCTCCCTATTCCATCGGCCACTGAATTGCCAGGCAGTGTAAGGATTCAGTTAGGAATGGCAGAAGTTTGTGCTGTGGGGATGGAGTCTCCTAAAGGAGAGAGAAGCCGTTTAAACAATATAAAGAAATCACTGCACATGCCAGCGGGTAGAACATACATGTACTTTTAACCAGAGAGGAAAACAATTATGAGTTCATAAAAATGGGATACTTTTTGGGTTTCAGCAAATAGTGCATGTCTAGAAATATGTTAACAACAGAATACCAGTTCTGTGTGGGAGAGAGCATTGTACTAATCAGAGAAAGTTGAAGGGAACACCCAGCACTGCATTAAACACACATCATTGAGCCTTTGGCAAAACTTAGCTTTGAACAATGAAAGATATTCCTCAATTCAACATTATATTTAGGAGGCAGATCATCCATAAAATGAATAGCAAATGCAAAGAAGTAAGTTTGAGTCTGGTCATTGTCTCAACTTGAGGCTTCATGGCTATTCCAGGAAGGGTAAGAGCTTCCAGTAGAAAGAAACTTTGAAAATGTTAGTCAAACATGCTAGACAAATCTACATTCCTTTCAGTCCTAGGGACTGGACCCTAATGAATGATCAGGAAACAAACAAACAATAAAGCAAAACCCACTGCTTTTGCTGGGGAAAACTCCTCTCAAATTGTGACCTCCATTGGGTTCACAAATCACTAATGACTGAATTTTTCAAAGAAAGAGTAGCCTCTGTTGAAGGAGGTCAACAGGGAGAGAGGAAGGAGAGAGATTTGAGGGGCACACAACTAGACTGGTGGATAAAGTATTGAGATCCAGCAAAGACCAAGCCAACCTGTGTGCTGAGAATGGGGAAACTTTGTCTAAGTTGCTAGAAGAGGCCATGTGAGCAGCGCTGCCACTGACCAGTTTGAAGGAAAGATCTGGTTCTGGCCCACCAATCAGAGCCCTTCATGGAATGTTTCCCCAGCCAGGCCCTCCTGGCCCTCCCCTCCCCCACTGCAGAATGTCTTGGCCCAACATTCTGAGGTTTGAATCCAAACCTCTCCCTCACCCACTCGGATCCTGAGCATCTGCGTGAGCAGTTCACTGTCTGATACAGGTCCTGCCTTTTGCCATTGTGAAGGCTGATAAGCTGTAGTGGCCTCTGGCCTCGTCTACGGGGATGGCGTCAGAAGGAGGTAAGCCTGTGAGGGTGTCTGTGTATGTGAGAAAGTCTCTGCCACCTTGAAAGCCTTTGGGTTCAGAGTTATCCTGACTGGGGACACCAAGTTTTGAAGGGGTAAAAGAGGAGAAAGGCCTGGGCTCCATAGATAGCTCACCTGCACAGCAATGGGAGCCCAGGAGGACCTGAGGGGACTGGGAGGGCATCCGTGGAGGTGTGTCAAATGACAGGGGGAAGGTCATGGGTATGGACAGAGGGAGGTAGCAGGCATATTGTTGCTTTGTGTGTGAGTGTCCCTGCTTGTGGATGGGGGAACAAGGCCATTTGTCGTGTGTATGGAGGGTCTGTTTGGTGGTGGCACAGGGAACACCGAGGCATGCTGAGTCCTTGTCCCCTCCTGTGCTCTAGAATAAGTTTAGAAGGATTTGGACTTGGGCTGAGCTCAACCTGATGTGGGCAGCTCAGCAGAGATGGTCCAGCCTGAACCTTGTTGAGTGAGGTTGTCTGTGTGCACTTCTGCCATGATGCGTCCACTCCAGAGCTGGGCTACAAGTGGCTAACTGCCACAGTCAGAGCCTGACCCCCCTGCGGATGGGAACTCTCTCCTGGCTGAGCCCAGTAGCTGTCCTGGGTCAGCAGACTGGGAGACAGGTGACTTCAGCGTAGTTATGACTCAGACTCTTGAGTTGTTCTGGATTGTTCTTTTGGTGAAGTTTGTTCTTCCATGGTCTGGCATTTCATGGGGACCAGTCTGCATTTGAGCTCTGAGGTGAAGAATGATTGGTAATCACATCCCCCCTCATACCCTAGAGGGGGGTAGAGATGAATGTGTGTGTGTGAGAGAGACAGAGAGAGAGAGAGAAAGAGAGAGAGAGGGAGGAAGGGAGGGAGAGAATGTGTGGGGGTGTGTGAGGGGGTGTCTCTATGTCTGTGGGTGTGATTTGTTGGGTTTTCCTGAGTAAAGCCTGTGAAGGTCTGTTCCTTGAGGGGAGGTGGAATGTGCTGAGGCAAAATGATAGCATCCTCAGAGCAGTTGGAGCCTCAGGGCCTCTGTCTTGAGCGTGATGCACACAGGCTCTAGGGCGTCTCTAGGACCAGTCTCTGCCTGAATTCCTCGTGTGCAAGTATGGTTGCAGACAATTTTCTCTCTCCTGGCACCTGGTTTATGCCTGATGTTTAGGATCCTGTCACTGGGATAAAGTCTTAGATTATTTAGAAGATGTCACCAATTTTCAATCTACCATGACCACCAGCTCCAGAACTCTGGAAACCTCCCAGAGTCTGACTGGTGAAATCTCTGACCTTTTCCATCCTTGCCATCGTCCCTGATGGAACTGGCGTAACTCATGGAGCCCAGGACCACTTTCCAGGCCACTCTCGTGGGAAGAGAATGTTGGAGGTAGAAACTGTGACTAAGTGTTCGAGAGACAGGGTGGCAACACCCGCCAGTGTGGAGGGTTGACTGTGGGTTTACTGTGCACAGGCTAGGCAGTGGGTATTGTGCTCCTGTCTGGGTCCTGGGCACTTCTTGGGAAGAACACATTTTCAGAGGTGTTTGCCTTCTTAGTGAAGCAGGAGGCCCTGATGAGCCTACAGCCTGAGTAGACAGTCTGTCCTTTAGACTCTGTTGTCATGGGACCCTGTAGGTGCTGAGCACCTGTGGTGCGGCTGGTCCAGTCTCTGTGACTGACCCTGCAGGGTCTCTTGCCGACAGACCAGTGTGTCCAGGTACATGTTGGGAAGCTCCAAAGTGGCTGGAGGGCAGGGTGTGAGAGGTCAGTGTGGTCAGCACAGAGGCCATCCCAGGACACAAGGACCCTGGCCTTAGGATCTCCACAAAGCATAACGCAGTTGGAGGGGAAGGATGGCCTGTGTCAGCAACTCAGGGCTGAGACAGGGCATGCTGCCTCATTCCCATCAAAGGGCCTGATCTAGAGATGGTTAAGCCAATGAGGCACCGCTGCTCCCTGTACCATCCCCCTCTCATTCCCCCTCCCTCCTCTCCTCGGTGTCTTCAGGGTCGGGTCTTGCCCTTTCTCAATCCAGGGCCCCCCCAGCCACCACCCTGGGAGCCGATCCAGATGCCCCCTCTGGTGACCTCGACCAGCGTTCCCGGCAACCCTCTGGTGCTGTCACCTTTTCCCATGATGCCCGTGGTGGCAGGAGCTGCCGGTCCTGGCCCCCACAACCCTGGACATTGCAAGGTCATCATCCAGGTCAGCCCTGAAGTGGGGCTTGTGGAGTCATCCCAGAACCAGCCTGTCATCCTGACACAGGCTCCACTCAACTGGGGGACCACAGAAGCTCCTACTGCGGTGGCCGGGCATCCTGCACCACTCTACTTGGTGTCCTCTGGGCCGGAGACAATTATGCCCACCCCAGCTACTACTGTCACCCAGGCTGGGACAGAAGACCATCGTCCACAGGCTCCACTGCCAGTGGCCCAGGTGGCCCCCATCACCCTCCCATCCAGCAGTGGGACACTGACCCAGTGGGTTTGTGGGGACAGTGGTCCGGCGGCCACCCGGAGCCAGTCACCGCCTAAAAGCTCCAGAAACCCCAACAGCGTCTACGAGAACTTCCGGCGCTGGCAGCGCTTCAAGGCCCTGGCCCGGAGGTACCTTCCTCAGACTCCGGACACTGAGGCCCTTTCCTGCTTCTTCATGTGAGTCCCTCGGGGGTCCTAGAGCTAATGGGAGTTTCCCAGGAGGGGACTGGGGTGACACCCAGGGTAGGGTCCATGGGAGAGCTGGAGGAAGGATGAGGACCCTGTGCCCAGGGATAGCACATACAGGAATCACCCTCAGTGCATCATGGCCTGTAGGACCGGTGGCCACACTGCCCAGCACCTCAGCACAGCCCCACTCACTGGCTGTACTCAGGAATGCCATCCTGGGGTTCTGGCTCAAAGGCCCGTAGTGACCAGCCATGCCCTAAGCCTCACCTCAGTCCCCTCATCAGGGTTGGTCCCGACCTGTGGTCTGAAGGGCAGACATTCCGTTCCCAAGACCAGACACAGCACAGATGTGACAGAATTCAGACAGGCCATGACTGCTCGGCCTTGGCGTCTCATGACGTATCCCCAGAGCTAAGAGTGGATGCCAGCAGGGCCACTGGACTGGGGTATAGGAGGCAGAGTCCACTCTGGGAGGGGAGATCAGGCCGATATCGGGGGTCAAGGCATGGGTGTGGGGCGGCGGGGGCTCCCGGCAGACGCAGAGCCTGACCGAGCCTGTTCTTGCAGCCCGGTGCTGCGCACCCTGGCCCGCCTGAAGCCCACCATGAGCCTGGAGGAAGGCCTGCACCGGGCCCTGCAGGAATGGCAGGGCAAGAGCAACTATGACCGCATGATCTACTACGACATGGCGGCCAAGTGAGTCAGGCCTGAGCAGAGAGTGGGGGTCAGGGTGGCTGCAGGCCCGAGCTTCAGGGGCTGGTCCCAGATGGCCGAGGGGAAGGGAGGGCTTGGCAGCCCCGGGAGACCCTTCCACTGCGGAAACTTGTTCCTCCCGGAGCTGGGACACTTTTCCCAAGCCCACTCTGGGGCTCCTGACCACAGTCTGAGGGTCACAGTCCCTGACCTCCTGTGACCCTCCAGGGCCAATGTGGGGGATCGCTGGGGGTGCTGGGGTCCGTGTCCACCCCATTCGCTACCCTCCTGGGGACTGGGCCATGAGCATCCCCTGTCCCTTACACATCCTGCTCAGTCCCGTTCAACCCGACTCATCAGGGCCTGTGTTCCCCACACCAGGTTCATGGAGTTCGAGGCCGAGGAGGAGATGGAGGTGCAGAAACTGCAGTGGACGAACGGGGTGCAGGGCCTGCCACTCCCCGCCCCACCCAGGCCTGGGCCTCAGGGGGCTCCAGGCCCACCGCCAGACCAGCAGACAGGTACGGACCCTGCTCCCAGCTAAGGGCCACAGGACCTGGGAAGGCCCTCGTGGGTCTTGACCTGACAGGGAGCCTTCACTCTCCCGATGACCCCCAGACCTGTGGTCAGCGGCTTCCTGTCCACTGGTTTCTCCCTCTCCTAGCACACCCCACGCTGCCTGAGGCGTCAGATTCACCTTTGAAGTGGGGTCGGAGACCCTGGGGACACAGTTGGTCAATCCTCCCGTTGAGGGTCACCTCATCCCTCACACAGTCACTGGATTCTAGGGCCCTGATCCAGCCTACAGGGACCCGTCCCCAACTCTGTGCTCAGTGCTGTGTGTCTGAGGGCATGGACGCGGGGTCCCCTCACATCCCTCTCTTCTTCCTTCCTCCTCAGCCTGTGTCCCCAAGAAGGCCAGACCCCAGGCCCGGGCAGCCCGCCCCAAGACACACAAACCTCAGCAGCCCCCCAAGTCCAAGGCCCCCGAGGAGATCCCTCCTGAGGCCGTGCAGGAGTACATGGACATCATGGACGAGCTGCTAAAGGCCCCCGACTCAGTCTGCAGGGCGCACCTCAGCCGACGGGCAGTGGACAGGGAGGAGCAGCAGGAGGAGGCTGGGACCTGCCCTGACCCGGGGCTCCTGAGCTATGTGTACGAGCTGTGCTCCCAGGAGGCCTTTGTCACCAAGGTGGGCCTGGGGTCTGGCCTTCTTGGGGACACAGGCTGAGGAGGAAGGAAGAAGAGAGGGATGTGAGGGGACCCCGCGTCCATGCTGCTGTGGGGTCGGGAGGGGGCAGGGCTGCTTCTGTCTAGGGCTTGGCAGTGATGTGCGGTCTCTGCTTTGAGCTCTGTGTGTAAATGCACACCTGTGTTTAGATATTTCTGCTTGTGTTTGTGCGCATGTGTGCACGTGTGTCTCTCTGTGTATAAGCATTGGCTCTTTCTGTGCCTTTTTGGGTTTGGTCAATGTGTGAACATCTCTGTGTCTACCTCTGTGTGTACTGTGTGGGCTCTGTGCAGACACGTGCAGATACATGTACATGTACCTAGAGGTGGAAGAGTGTGTGTCTTTGTGTCAGGTGTTTGCATGAATCCATGTGT